TTTAGTGAGCTGTGATCTGTCAGCAGGTTCAGTCGTTCTGTGTGTGATAATCAGTTGTAAAACAAGAATCCAGCAAAAGCCGTCTGTTAGCCTGAACAAAGTCTTTTTTTAATTTTTTAATCTGTGATGGTTGGAAAGTTGTGTTGCATTTCCTTAGTTTGAATCATTTCAGAATTTGTCTCATTCTAGTTGCTGGTAAATATTCTCTTAGACTTTTAGACTTGGACAACTTTTATTGGGATTTTGTGTACACAGAGTTTATACAAAATGCATTTTTTTTCTTTTTGTACAGCTTTGCAGTGAAATGAACATTTCCATTCCATAAAGTGCAGAAGTGATCAGATGTAAACAGTGTGGGAGGAAAATACATGGTGCAAAATGCATTGTTATTAAAGTTCAGAGCATTGCAAGATAAATATATATGGGTCAAATACGCCATAAAGAAAAAAAAGAAAAAATGTTTTTTTGTTTTTTTTTTGTTCTCTTAGGTTTGGTGTTATCAGTGTGATGCAGAGTCTGAGACTTGATTTAGAGTTTTTTTCAACAGTTTAGCTGCCTGATGGCGGGGGGGGGGGAAGCTATTGTAGAACCTGCTGGACATGCATCGGATGCTGCGAAGCCTCTTTCCAAAGGGTAGCAGGGAGAAAAGTCCATGGCGGGGGTGTGAGGGGTCACTGATAATGTTATGGGCTCATCCAAGTCATAGTCATTTCAAAAAAAAAAAAAATTAATAAACAAACCACTGGTCTTTGTTTTCCAGGTTTGAAGACGTTTCTGTTCCCATCCAGGAATCTTTCTCAATTTAAAAATGTCTGGAGTAGAGTTTGAGTTCCAGGCTTATAGAGTAGCCCAAACAAAATCCTTGTTATGGTTTAGAAAACATGAAAATTGAACCGAAAACAGGTCCACCCCTTTGTAAAGGGGAGTCGTTAGTGTCATTACTGGCCTGGCTAAACAGGCGGAATATTTTTACCATTTGCAAACTCAAGCTTTGGTTTGTCAGGTTGAATTTTGCAGAATTTTCAGGTGTTTTGCTGCCACCTTCTGGATGTTTCGGGGCGTTTTTTTGCTTGCATTTGTTGTAAAAGCTCAACATCACATGTCTCTCTTCTGACTGTGTGGTTCTTTCTAGGTCAGTTGATATCAAAAGGATTGATTTTTTTCCCTGAGAGCATCATCCTGTTTGACTCTGTGTTCAAGCTGTTAGTGCTGATTGACTGATTTTTAGGTTATTAACAATGCCTACCTGCTGTCATTTTGTCTTTGCTTACTGTTTTATGTGTTATTTTGTAAATGTGCAGCTATGTTTTTTTCCCCCCCATCAGCTAGCTACTAAATTATAAAGCCGTGAATATAATGTTAAGTCTGCACTTTTTTTTTTTCTCCTTATGTTTTTCAAAGAGAGACTCAGCTCTTTATTTTAAACCTGCTTGTTTACCTGAACTTTTTTGTTGTTGTTGCCAAATAAGGAGATGCCCCAGCAGCCAGATGTGCAGTGAGCATTACTCAGTCAAGCAAAAAGAATTTAATAACAGCAGAAAAATGAAGCAGTCATGCAGGCGTTTTTTTTTTTTTTTTAAGTTTTTGGCCCTCCAGTAAGTGGCCAATTTTAATCACCAGCTTTCATTTTGAGTGTTCTTCTCTCGGTGTGCCTCCCCGCCGTGTTTGATAATGCATGGATGAAGGCATTATAGATGAAAGGAGTTTTTATTCAGTAAACATCTAGGGCAAGAGTTAATTCAGGACAAGATTGAGTAGTTAGAAAACTGCTTGTTAGAGGCTTTTAAAATTAGTTTGATCTTTGATTTTTTTTTTTTGCCTTACAAAATTAAAGCTTAAACCTTAAGTTTAGATATTGAAAGAATGTTTTTATTTTTATTTTCTTTAAAATCTCTTGTTCTTTTGTCAAATGTTTCAGCGGTCAAGTGTGTATGTCGGTAATTTGTCCAATATCACCCTGCAACTAACGATTATTTTGCAGATTAATAATTTTTTTCTTCGATGAATTGATTTATAATCGGTTAGCAAAAGCGTCGTTAAACAAGATTATTTATTAAATTAAACCAGGTGAAACTAAAACATTTTCTCTAGACGAGTTCAGGATAGAGCATATTGATGGGACGAAAACCTTTTTTTCAATCTTAAATGCAAAACTTAATGTGTTTTTTTTTTTTTTTTACAATTTTGATATAATGACTGCTCTAAGTTGGTCTCTCTGTCAATTAAAGGCATATTTTACAGCATCTGTACTCCAGTTAACCGTTAACTGATTACTAAATTAGTGGACGACTATTTCAATAATTGATTAGTCCCATTAATTGTTTCAGCCCTAACTGGAATACATCAGGCGCACCTAAAATCTTTGATAGAAGGAAGCGGATAGAAACACTCCACTTCTATGGAAGCATATTTTATTCCCCTGAGAGAAAAAAAATACATAAATAAAAGATGTTTTTTTCTGAATTAAAGATATCACTTTTTATAAAAATATATAAAAACATGTTTTTCAGACGGCCCTTTCTCTAGCGGTCTTAAACAGTCTGCGGGGTTGGTGTATAAGTAAAGCTCGTGTTATTTTAGTTCGCTCGTCCTTTCATACGTCTCTGCAGGTTATATTGAAGGCAAGTAATGTTCAAGCTTAGCAACACAAAGTCTTAGTTGAATTATTTAATGGCCCACCTATGTGTCCTACATCTATGTTGAATTTCTACATCCTACCAGCATTATGGACTCTGTTAGGATAAATGTAACAGAAACACTGTTGGTGTCCCCCGGTGGGGAAATTCATGCATTAACCTTTTATAATACTTAACAATAGTGGAGATCCCTTTACTCCTGTATTAGGGCTCTAATAATAAACTTTGTATATGCTGAAGAACAGCTTGTTTTAATTTTAATGTAATTTCTTTTAATGATGTGACTCATTATCCGATCTCTTTCTCAGTTAGTCCTAATGTCACTGAAATTATGCCAGCAGGTCACTCTGGGCTTCAAGGTGGAGCTAATGAGGTTTCTGTGATAAGGTTGATCTTAATTAATTTTGCGGTTAATTACCTTTGGGTCAGTTTTGAAGGTAACTTGGATAGAAGTCAGTGTCACGATTTAAAATTCTTGGGGGAAAAAACAAAACATTTCAAACCAAAATATCCAGTTTTTATAGCTGTCGTCTATTTTAAAGGCTTATTAAGCCTGCATGGTACAGTAACTTTGCAACAGTTTAGTTTTATCTTAAAGTACAGTTGGACTTTGCTGCATTTAATCTCTTAAAAAGGAAGCAGCATAGCGACTTATGTTACCAGAGATCCTACACATACGACACCAGTTTGCTCTATACTGGCTTTTCCTTGTAAATATGGAAGGTAGTTTTCTGTACTTTCTGTGCAGATTCTGTATCTGAGTCATATTTGAAGTTATAATTAAAATTCTGTTTAACACAGCGTGTGTGTGTGATTTCCAATGTCATCTTACAAGCGCGCGTATTGTTTATGCTCATCACTAAAACTAAAGGCTCCATTGTTGGAACAAAGCGGTGTCGGACAGAGGAAGCAGGGAGACGTTGGACGGCAAATTTTAAAAGACGGGACACCAGCACAGTTTATTGAACAAACAGAACACAGTAGCACTTGTTGAACTTTCACGGTACATACCAGTCTGCTGCAAACATAAAGAAGCATGAAAACAAAGCTTAAGCAGGCCTTCAAAGGAGAAAAGTAGCTTTTCTTTTCAATTTTGATGCACATTAATGCTACTATAATACACTCTTTGGATGTAGATGCCAATGGGACCGCTGTATATTTTTGCAATACAGCGGCCCTCATCCAATACAGACACAATATCTTACTTTTGCACATCTTTTGATGCATTTTAGAACCACACAATTTATTAAATTGCAGCTTTAATGTGTTTAACATCAGTCCGTAGTCTGTAACGGTTCAGTTACTAGGCATTTAAAACAGTAGATAATGTGTTTGAGCAGATAGCTGGACTTTAAATGTTTTCAGGGCCTCCACCCAACATACTGTAGCTCTTAGGGATAAACCTTATGATAATGAAAGCAGGTAATAAGGAAGTCTGGGTTAATCAGTTGTCACTGCAATATTCAACAATAATTATGCAATGCCATGTTTTCCTTGTATTAATGAGAAAATATTCTCTCCGATCTTTCTTGAGCAAAAATGAAATAGCATTCAGCAAGAGTCCTGCATAGCATTTCATAAACCCCCTCCCCCCTATTCTAGAGGGAAAACCATCACATGGTGATTATTTTGATCTGGTTCACTTCCAGTTAACATCTAGAACAGAACCATCCTCACATTTCTTTAATTGAAACAGAACATCACCAAGTGTAAAACAAGTCAGCTTTCTAATTACAGCAAATACACCTTTATTTTTGTGGCTTAATCTTCTACTTAGCAGCAGTGTTTGCAATAACATTAGTGAACACTTACTGACACTGACAGAGCGGTAAGTAGAAATAGACAAAAAGATACTGTACAGTTATAAATACTTCCGTTTGTGAGTAAACAAGTCCTGGAGCAGGAGGAATGCATCATCTTAGATTACTAGCCAAGACAGAGTGTGGTTCAGGTTTTTGATTGTCATTTAGCAGATTTGTTGTTAGCATTTGGTTTTCTGAAGTGTGATTTCCCTGGAGCTCTACATTCATTTACGAACACAGGAACAGGTTCTGTTTGCAGGCATTTGTTCTCTTTTCCATGTCACCTTCTGTAGCCAATAGTTCCAGTCTGGATTAGGTTTCTTAGATGCTGATGATCATACGACACTAACTTCTAATCTGAGTGATCCAACCAGATCAAGTGGAACCAGATCAAGTGGAAAAAAAATGCCGCTTTAGCACTGGAATCAACTATGACCAAAAAGCAATAAAAATAGTAGGAGCTTAACATCAAAAATGTGGGTGTTTTTTTTTTTTTTTTTTTTTAGTTTAAAAAATGGGAAAAGGATGGAGCTTCGTCATAACAGAAGGTTGTTTTTTTTTAATCCTAAATTTGCAGTGAAGATTCGTTCTTACAGCATTCTGAAACCTTCACAAACAGCTTGTTACAACAACCTGAATAAGTGAAGATGCTATTAAGATATCTGTTTATCAGGTCAGGTTTCCATTCATTGAGGTCATCCAGTAAAAATCTGGATAAATCTGATGGGAGATTCTCTAATCCACAAGATCCTGTCATTCTAAGAGTCACAAACTCTTTTTCTGTTTTTGGTAGAACCAGGTGGGAGCCTGGTGTAGCACCACCTTTAGTTAAGCAATTAATCTAATTTGGTGGAAAAACCAAATTGCCATTCAAAAAATGAAACATAAGCAAGTCATTTTTTTCTTGAAATAGGTGCATTCCCCTTGTTTTGAGCAGGTAAGAGAATTTGTCAACAGAACAAGATCATTTAGGCTCAAAATGAGGGGGAAAAAACAAAAAAAGCAGAATTATAACTTTGATACTTCTCGCTTTTAAATAATATACTTTTAAAATCAGGAAAGACTTTAACAGCAAACTGAGATAAAGATATTCTTAAAATAAATTTGTACTATAATATTCACTTTAATTATTTCTGAGCTGCCTAAACAGAGCAGCTGATGGTGAACTCTTATATTTAAAATCTTTAGTCTCTGTCACAATGCTGGGCCTTGAAGTCCCACATTGTTTATTCCTCTTTAATTCTGTTATATCCTTTAAGGTACATAAATGAGATCATTGAGGAATTTTGTGCCTGAAATAATAAATCTCAGTAGTGGTTGGTATGCTGGTTGATTCAAACCCAACTGCAGCACACAGTTGGGTTCATGGCACAGAAACCAAGCTGCTGATTCTCGGTCATTTTATCGGTCACTGTCCACCTTTAGCCACGTTATATTGGTATATTCCAAAGAGAAAAGTAGCGGTGCTGAAGCCGAAATCACACGACGGTGTAACCAACATGGCTGAATGTTATTATGGCTATGTAACAAACTGCAGGGGTGCAGTGAGGCTGCATGTCCACTGGGGGCACGCTTCTGTTTAAAAAGAAGGAAAGTCTTTAAGGTTCAGACTTTTTTTTCTTTTCGTCTGTTTAAACTGATAAACCTATCGGCTCTGGATTGTGCTAGGCTGGTATTCGTTTCAGGTAGGGATGGTGACTTAAAAGGATGTTGGAACCTGAGGCTGTAGCTGAGCTAGCTGGGGCAGTGTCAAAGGGTCCATGAGGCTTTAGGGTTACTGGTAGGATTAATGCCGCTGGGTCAGCGCCGCTCCAGGAACCAGATTTCATTCTGACGGTTGCTGTGAGCGGGGTTGGTGTAGCCGGCTACGATGAACGAGTCGTTTACGCAAACAGCTGGAGAGTCCAGCAGCTCGGCCATGGCGTTGATTTGATTGATGATGGTCACTTCATTGGTGGGACCACTAAACCCCCTGGTAGATGGAGAAGGTACATCGTAGGGATTAAAAACATGTCGTTATTAGCTATTGGTTAAATAGAGCAGGTTTTCATTTCCTTTTTTCCCTCTACTAACCTTGTGTACACGGTAGTGGCAGGCCAGACCTCGATGGCAATCTCGTTATCATCAGGCTGTGGAGGCTGCGCCTGATGCTCTATGGGAAGGTAGTAGGCTACAGTGACGTCCTGGGAGATCACTGAATGATTTTCATCTGTCCGCACTACCGTCACTATGGGCAGCGTCATACCGAGGTAGTCTCCTAAATGAGAAAACGACAAACTGTGACATTATAGTGTTAGAAACCTTTCAGTCACGGCATGTCAATACGGATGCACCAATTAAATTCAAACTAGCTAAATTCTCCTATGATCTGCTTTGACTAGTAACAAGCACCTCAATGAAATCTAATCTGCTGATTCAGATCAGCAGATTAGATCTTAAAGGAAATCCATGATGGCCTAATCAAAACATCCTGAACAACGGAAGAATAATGAAATGAATCAGAAGCTGCTTTCCGATTGGACTCACCTAAGGAGTTCTGCTGACAGATGTATCTCATTATTCTCATGAAGCCGTAGCAGATGCTCTGTTCGTATGTTTCCTCGTGCAACGTTATACAAGCCCAGTGACCCTTTTCATATTGACGTTTCTCATAAAGCGGTTCTCCACACTGGGAAGGAAAGCACACAAATAGGAAAGATTTGATCACAAACAATCCCTGTTTAATCAAGTCCTAACCTACATTTGTTCTTAAATACAAACCAGTAAAAATTAAGATAAAAAAAATGTGCACAATATGTGCATATAGAACGATTATGATCATTTACTGTTAATTATTTACAAAAATCTTTTTTACTATAAATTTACCGTACAGTCATATACTAAGAAAAAAACATGCTTCTGACAATAAACGGATATTCTATTCTAAAAAAAGACTATAAATATTTATTGCTGACATAAACATTTTCGATAGTTTCCTTCTGTTCATTGTAAAAATTATGGCTTACAGCCAAAGAAAGCTTAAAGTTCAGCCTCTTAGATGATGTGTCTCTGATAGTACAATATGTACGAAACATTGAAAATGTGCTTTTAATCCAGAAATGTTGGCCTTTTAAAAGCATCCAGTAAATGCTCTGTCTGAGCTCCTTCTGCTGGAAGGAAGACACCATGTCCTGCTGCATCGTACAGTGACAGTGGAGAGGAAAACCTTTAACAGGAGGAAACCTCCTTTAAACGGCCATCTGCGATCACCGACTGGCATTCTGAGCAGACAGAGCATACACATAGTAAAGGTGTCCTTTCTATTTGATTTTAATGAATTTCTTAAATTCTTCTCATGTGAGGCAGCTTTGGTGCATTGAATTACATCCAGCTGTTTCATCCCTGGCTCAAGAAAGACACTTCTAATCTTCTCTGTGGTTGTTATCTGAGTTTCACTGTGTTGATTTACCTGAAAGCACCTTTTCTAGCTCATGCTTTCATTCATCTTTAAGTTAACATGCATGGATTCAATAACAACCGCCTTCTTAGCAGTTAAATTTTTTGGCTTATAGGAATTAAAGGATTGTGTGAACTGTTGGCCAGTAAGAAGTTCTTCCCTTGGTTTTGTGGAACATAATATGGTCTATCATGTAATCTAAAGTTGTAGGGAAGTGGCTGTTCCAACCGTTGCACCACTCGGGAATTCTCCCGACTTTACACAAGTGAATAAAGTCAATGTGATTGGTCGTTTATCAAGAGGGCAGGGTTGTTGTGGCGGAAGGTTCGCAAGCAAGTTTTATTGTGCCTGGTTCCTTCGGAAGCATCGTTGCTAACCAGTTAGCAACTTAGTGCTAGTAAGTTCTCAATGGGTCTCGCTGCTTCACGGATTTGCATCATGCATTGTGTTCTGCATTACTTATTTATAACTATATTATTTTACAGTACAGTCCAGTAGTTATTTGTAAAAAAAAACAAAAAAAACAACAACAAACGCTTATACAGTACTTTTATTTGTTAAACAAATGCTTGGGGCTGTAAAAAGTTTTTGTTCCTTGATTTCAATGTTTTATGGAGTATTTCATTTATAATAACACAAAAAAATAAAGGTTTCTACTTCACGGATTTCGCCTATCGCGGGTTTTTTTTGGAACGTAACCCCCGCGATAAACGAGGGTTCACTGTAGTAGCTGCAACATATGAATCAAGATGCTATGACCGAAAAAATGTGATTTACAGATGTCCGTTGATATATGACTGGACGAATTTAGGTGTACAAGCTGACGTATAACTAACTGGCCTGCATAAGATAATAAAAAAACAAAACAAAAAAAACACAGATTTTAAGACAGGAATTTTTTTTTCAGAATTTAGAAATTTTCTAAACTTTTGGACAATATCTTTAGCCTGGGTGCCAGTCCGAACTTAGTCCCGCCCACAAGGTTTGAGTTCGGGGAAGTTCGGTCTGGCTCTGCTCCATAGTAGCGCGAGTATTATCGCCCACTGTCAGGCGATCCAATCAAATTGTCAGGGCGGGCTTTATACGATGATGGACAGATGATCAAGAGTAACGTAATCAACCACGTGACCAAAGCGCGCTTGGGTGACAACAATAATGGCTGCCGCTGGAGAGTTTGGGTGAGTAGATTCTGCTATTAGGTCTGTTCTAGAAGATATCGACAGCAAATTAATTTTAAAAGAGGAACAGAGAAACGCGATCAAGGCTCATCTTCTTATTCTAGGCGTGAAACTGCACGCTTTGATTTTTGTGGACAACAACTATGCCTCGCTTAACATACGTCACGCACTCCGTTGCTCTTATTGGTTGTAGATCTATCCAATTGAGTGCAGAGGCATTTTTTTTCCTGGTTCGTTCGAAACACGCCCCATAATCACAGTTCTGTGGAGCAGTATCAGACTCATATTCTGACTAGAATTGAGTCGGACTACGTCAGGCTACAATATCTTCTGATAAAGAGAACATTTATATACATGTTTAAGCCAGAATGATTTGACATTTAAATAAGATTTCCCTACAACTTAAAAATTATTTCCCTTTTTATACGTTTTTTGTAATACATTTAAATGTTTGTAAAAAAAAAAAAAAAAAAAGAGGTTCTCATAATTTAAAGTATAGATTATTTGAAATTTCATTTCAGAACTTTTTTTTTTTTAGTGTTCTAATTTGTTGGGATGCATTCGAGCTTCAGTCGAGGTTTTCTTGCCGCTACATTACGTCCATTTTGAAAGGCACTGAGGAAGTGATCTAAGAATAGGATGTCACTGTTGGCCTTCGTTCAACCCGAGTCCTCAGCCAAGTTTTAATGAACTAATTAATTCAAGTTAAACCAATTAGCTTTGTTATTTATACACTCCCCTAAGGAGTTTAAAAGGCTTGGGTGGCACGACCATCTCTCTAGAAATAAATATCTCAAATCGGCTACACGTGACCTGGGTGGAGCAATTTTATTTTTTGTGTAGGTCAGAGCTTTTAAATGGACAAAAAGCTTTGTCACCTAGTTTTCCTGTCAGATTAGCATATTTGATTTATTATACATAAACTACAGCTTCAGTTACATTAAGGTGAGGTGCTAAGAAATTCAGAATTTTCATAATTTAAATTACTATACCTACAAAATCATTAAATCTGTCTAATGTGGAAATTTAAAACAAGCTGTATTCTGTTAATTAGACACACTGCTGCCTGCAGAAGACTGAGCTGTCATAGAAACCTTTAATATGCAGGCACAGTTCAGTTCCTATTACTGATATGTCCTCACCTCTTTTAAACTAGGTCACTAATTTAATTACCTAAAGTAGAAAATAACAGCTTGGAAAGAAAGGGTTCTAGAGTCTGAAGATAGATCCAATGTATCCTAGCTAAAATGAAGGGATACCTTCTCTTTTCGCATTAGCAGGGTAAATGGGATGTGCTCTCTTTGACTTCGTCCTTGGTTGTCGCTGCTTAGCTGCTGAATGGGTTCTGCCATATCTGCGGGAAAAGATAAAACATCAAATGAGAAGTTTGAAACAGACCCCAAAACCAACTGTGGTAAACATGCAAACCTTGTCGACAAAAAAGATAAATACAAAACAAACGAGTTATAAGTATGAGTATGTTTTTGTTTTCTCTTAACGCAGTTGTTTGCATGTAGAGGATCTGTTTAGTTCTACATGTAAACTTCCCCGTATTTTTTGCCCTTGCCTCCTGGTGCCTGTTGGCTAGCAGTATTCTTACTTTGAGTAAGATTCTGCCAGTCTGGCCAAACACATGCCAGGACGCCACCAAGATTAATGTTGATAAGAGCCGACAGATTAGGAGAACCGACGCTGCTCAAGGCCTGCCACAGATTGACATAGCTGAGTCTACAGCACAAGTCGGGTTTTTAATAAACTGGAGGATATTTTGGTTTTTCCGTCCTGTCTAACTGATCCAATTTGTACTCAGTCATAGGAATTTAAATGTGCCTCTGGTGTTACTGATATCCACAAAGCAATCACACTGAAGCTTGTTTAATCAGATTCTGTTTGTCAATGTCATGAAGGACAACTGGGTCAGAGGGACCTGTTGTATTTAGATGATCAATTCTCTTTATCAGAGAACCACATTGATGTACATTTTAACAGATTAGAATAGAAATATTCTGCATTGTCACTCAGTGACAGGCGACTCAAATTATGTAGATTCACACAAATTGAGATAAAAAAAAAAGGTAAGTTTACAATGTTGGCACATATGCATGCAGAGAGTAGCAAATAATTAGGATCATCTACAACAATGTGTGTGTATGTCCTGGCATAAAAAACTGACTATTACGGGGGGAAAAATGTGCAAATAACAGCACAGACGTGAATACTGATTGAGTTTGTTGGGAGTGGGGATTGTTCTACAGCAGGGGTCTTCAACGTTTTCAAGGTCAAGGACCCTAAAACTGATGGAGAGATGGAGCGGGGATCCCGTAATTATATATATTG